GCAATTAAACAATTCATGGAAGTCACAGCTCCTGGAAAAGACGTTCAGATCAGCTTACTCGTCTCCAGTCCTGGCTCTGTCACTGATGGGGCATGTAACCTGGTGAAGGTCACTTGACCTTTCTGAGCAGTAGTTTCCCGAACCTGTGAAACGGGGCGAAGCCTGTTTACCACACAGGAGTTCTATGACGAGCAAAGGCCGCACTGTTTGCAAGCTCCTGGTATCCACAGTGCCTCCTACGTGGGAAGCATTTTACTTCCTTCCTCTCTTCCCTTCCTGAACGCTATGGTCCTGAGTGAGGGTTACAAATCGTCAGGGACGCTGCTGATTGTCTAGTAGCTCACATTCCCACGGGAGGACAGGGACAGATAATTACACACGGTGAAGGATACAGACAGTAGCACTGACTTCAGGAAGCAGTTAATTGGGCCGGGTGGTGAGTGGGTGGGTGAGTGCCCAGTGGGGACATCAGAGAAGACTGGGACTCACCAGGTAACTCACTATCGGAACGGTGAAGGCTCCATTCTTCCCATTTCTACTGCAGGTACTTTTCAGAAACACACATCTGATTGTGCCAGGGCTTTAAACCCCCTACAGGGGATGGGGGTGGGGGTATCCAGGTTCCAATTCCCTAGCGTGGCTACAAAGCCCTTTCCAATTGAACTGCAGAAAATTATTTCGTACCAATACTCAGATTCCTTAGGTACTAAATGCCAAGAGAAGGGGAAATTCATATCTTAACAAAAAATGACTCAGTACAAATAATTTCCTCTTTACAGCAATGCCAGGTGAAGGAGTTAAGATTTTTCCGGGGATGGAGGGAAGGTAGACAATTTTGGAAGAGAGCATTCTTGTGATGTGAACAGAAGGAAGCAAAGTACAAGGAAGCCCTCGCATAAAGGGCACCAGGAGGTGAACGGGGGGGCCCTGAAGGGGAGGTGGGCCTTGGACCAAGACAACCGCGCTGATTGTCACCTTTGAGGCTAAAGCTCTGGCTGGTGTCAGAGCTAAGATACATTATAAATCAAATTCGCTGCTAGACTAGCCCATAAAAGTCTCGGTACCAGTCCTAAGGGAAACTGTCTGTTTACACCCACACCTGAGCTCTGGGCACACGGTCCCTTTGAAAGCTGGGGGCTGCTTCCATAGCCCCAAGAGAAAAGAAGGAACGCACGTAACACAAAGCAAACGGTCAGAAAAGCAGAGCGTCTACACGTGCCTCTGGAACATGAACACACACATACCGTGCAGCCCCAGACCCTCACCTGTGGACTTAGGCCCGACTCTCCTAAATCTCCACAAGATTCCATTACTCGGGGGAGAGGAAACGCGCAGTCAGTGTCGGGGTGGGGGGTGGTTATCATTCCCTTGGTGACAAGGCAGGGATCAGAAATCTTCTAAAGCGCCTCAGAATTCAGAGACAGGCTCACTTAATCCGACCCTTCCAGGACGGGGGTGCCGCTCCCATGGGTCCCCTCCCCCCAGAGAGGGGCCGAGTCGGGCGGAGGGACTGCAGCACAGCTCGGGCTCCCTGCTGGAAGAGGCCCTGGACTTGGCTTTGAAGACCCCCCTTGTCCTGTGGGCTGTGCCGCTCTGCCCCAGCTCACGGGGAGGCGCACGACCACGGCCAAGCAGGCAGAACCCTTCTCCCTGGAATACGGGCCCGCAAAACCCAACAGAGGCAGAAGATGAGGAGATGACTTTGCTCAGCGGTGACCTAACAATGCAGCGCACCAGGCCACCAACCCGACTGCAGCCAGTCACCTTCATCTCCGCACCTCCTGGCCCAATTCCTTAGCTTCTTCTTAAATCTCAGGAGCAACCCCGCATCTTTACAATAAATTCCTTGTTCTACTCAAGCTAGCCTGTCAGGGTCTGTTCTTGTTCTGAAAGGGACCCCAACTGATACATCTCCAGGTGTTTCTCACCTTCCCGCCCTGCTCCCCGCGTCCATCCTCTACTGCACGGAGCTTCCTAAAACACAGTGCCAGCATCCTTCAGGCGTACGCACTAGGTAACACTATCATTAATACCATTTATTTATTGAGCTCTTTTTATGTGCCAGACATGTTTAGACACGCCTGAAAAATTGGGGTGCACGAAACAGACTAGGCCTCTGAATTGTAGGGGGGGGTAAATCGGGTAACGCACAAGGAAACAAATGACAAAGGTAACTTCAGACTGCGCTGTAATATTAATAAGCAGGGAGCTATCACTGGGTGGAGAAACTGGGGCTTTGGGGAGGAAGGTTATTAAACAACACTCGTGGGACATTTTGGCTGAGCCCTAAAAGCTGGGCGAAAAGTAAGTAGTTAGATGGTAAAAACCACGGTTGTCTGTCAAAACACAGAATGTTAAAAACAGACTCTACAGCTCTGTAAAACTGGCTTCAAACTACTTTTTAAATGTTCTTTGCCTTCATTGTTCCCCTGTGAGCACCTCCTGCTTCGGAGGCTGTGTCTGTGAGACAGAGCCCCAGCGTCCTGCTTCCTCCACGACCAGATCGCAGACGTCCCAGCACCCGTCTAACCTTCCCCAGGATGCGACTCAGCTGAGCATTCACCCCCCTTCAACGCTCAGCTCAAGTCCAATCACTCCATTCAGCCTCCTGTCACGGCTGGACTGTGTCCCCCCGCCGCGCCCCATCGCACACTCAACGCTCAGAGCCTCCGAATGCAAGCAGATCTGGAGATACAGTCTTTTTTAAAAAAATTATCTTTAAATTTATTTATTTAACATTTTGGGACAGTGACAGCGTGAGGAGGGCGGGGCACAGAGACCCCCAAGCAGATTCCGAGCTGCGAGCACAGAGCCCTGCGAGCTGCGAGCACAGAGCCCTGCGTGGAGCTCAAACTCACGAAACTGTGAGATCATGACCGGAGCAGAAATCAAGAGTCAGACGCGTAGCCGACTGGGCCGCCCGGGTGCCCCTGGAGACAGTCTCTGAAGGGATCAGGGAGTGTTAGGAAGGACTTTAAGGTGGCCCCTAAGGCAATCCCTCCAAGAGGAGACAGGACAGGAGCACGTGAAGACACAGAACACAGTCCTCTACACACCAAGGACAAAGGCCTCAGGGGAAACCAGCCCTGCCCAAACCTTGATCTTGGACTTCTGGGCTCGAGAACTGTGTGAAGATAAATTTCTGCCAAGCCCCCAGTCCGTGGTGCTCTGTTTTGGCAGCCTCAGCAAGGAATGCACAGTCCTTGAGCACTTCAGTTTATAATGAGCAACCGCCTTCCAGCTCCCGCACTACAGAGCGGCACCATTTACATAATGCCCACTCGGCGCCAACGCTGCGAGTGGTTTGTCTCCCCAGCAGACCTGTGAGCTACGCAAGGACTGCCACCCTGTTTAATACATCCCGAGACCCTTCACAATGCCCATCCTGCACAGCAACGTGTTGATTTTTCTGTGCTCTGACGATGCAATTACACGCAGGAATGGAAGGTGCGCCTCGTATCGGTTTTCCTGAAGCAAGCTGGTGCCCATCACTGCCTTTTAGAATACTGCATTGATCTTTCTACCGCTTCCTAGATAAAATGCAAACTCTAAGACTGGTATACAGGCTTGTTCGTGTTCTGGTCATTATTTGTCTTTGGACCCCCTCTGGACACTTCTTACCATCCACCCTACAAAGCTGTACACCCAGTTTTCACCACCTGACGTACCTTTCTTACTTTCCCTTGGCCAACTTTTCCAGAAAGATCGGGCTCAAATGTCACTGTCTGTACAAAGCTCCAGTTACTGTGTCCCCAACCAATGGCTCAGCTGGATTGGAGCAGCCACAGGACTCCATCCACTTTTTTTGCGGTTAACACGACCATGCGGCATGGCCTGTTTTTAGTATCTACCTCCCTCAGGAGAGCCCTTTAAAAGGAAAAACACTTGTTTTCATCTGTGTATCGCTGGCGCTTAGCGCAGGCCTGACAGTATGTGCTGCGTGAAGAGAGAAACCCTCACCCCCCAGGTTCAGGCCTGCACCTGCTCACCGGGGCTGCTCCAGCCTCTGCTCCAGAGCCTCGCACGCAGCAGCCCTGCTTTTCGCATGAGCTCTGGGGGCTCGAAGGCCTACGTGACGTGGAGTTGCAAACCTGAACCTCTGCTTAGACCTGCCCTTGGGACTGCAGGTGCCTGCTAGGCACTTGCACCACGGCACAGCCCGCGTGCCCGGGGCAGCCCTCCGGGCCCTCCCTCGTCCCTACCCCACACCCGCTTGTCCTCACATGTTCTTTATTTGGTTAGGGGGGCTGCCAACCGCCAGGTCTCCCAAACCGGAAACCTCTCTCTCTGCAGCCCAGCACCACGGCCTGGCAAACCTCGCTTGTAAACAGCTCTGGAGTCAGCTCTCACCCCTGCTGGCTGCGGGGACAACGAGAACGGTCTCTTCGGCCATCCCCTGCTCACCCGAGACCCCAGTTAACCCCCCTTTGCGGACACACCCAACACCCCCTGCCATAAACACTGTTAAAGTTCCTTAAGGACCGGCATTCTACCCTTTTCACTGTACAGAACAGGGCGCAGCCACCTTCGCTAGTGTCGAATGAATGAGTGAATGAAAGAAACATAAGGTAACTTTCAAGCAGACTAGTGCCCCAAATGTCCACTTTCTTTCTAACACCAACTTTCAGGAATACTTGAATTTAAAAGTAATGACAATTAGACATTAGGGGTGGAAGAGATATTTACTCCAAGCATCAGAGGGGGGAACAGCTGTCCATGAAATATCCAAAATGGATTATTAACCCGCTTTGTCTTCTGAAGCGAGGTTTCTAAGCACAGACCGTGAAGCGGGCTCCTCAGGGCGGACTCGGGGCCAGCGTCACGAACAATCACCGGACTATGCTGTAAGACGCGGAGGCCCGCAGGTCCCAGAGGCGGGCAGCGCCGGGGGCTCCGGCACTCCAAGACCCCGGGATACGGTCCTGTGCGGGGTCGGGTCGGATTAACCCTGGCCTTCATCGGCCACGGCGAGCCCGAGAACCAGTCTGAAAATACCCCACCTCCAAGCGCCGCGGCAGCTGCCTTCTCCGGAACCGCGCAGTCCTGTGCTCGCAGCGCATAGCAACCGGGGCGAAGGGCTCGTGCCCAGGGGCCCCCTTCGCTACCGGCGTTCATAGGGCGCTACTGAACTTGGTCCGCCCACGTGGTCCGGGCGAGTACACACACGGAAAGATCACGGGGACTCCCGCCGGCAGAGGTCTCTGGGCCGGGGTCTCCAGGACCGCGGATCCCAACACCCCCCATCTCCACCGCCCCCGGCCGCAGATTTCGGACGGGGCCTTTTTCAAGCGGCGAGCCATCCACAACGCAGCAGAAACAAGTCCTCCAGGGGTTCTGGAGGGAACGGTGCGCGCCCCGGGGTCCACGCGTCCCGCAGAGGGCAGGCCGAGGGGGCGGACCGGGGCGGGGCCGGCCAAGTCCGCCCGCGCTCCTGGTTGGTCTCGCCGGCGGGTGCCGGGAGGGACCCAGGGGCTACGGGGCGCTGGCCGCGGCAGGTGCGGGGTCCCGCTGCCCCGCAGCTCCGGCGCACACCCGCGCACCCTGCGTCCCCGGCCCGTCCCCACGCCCGCACGGGACGCGAACACGTGCCCTGGGCCGGAAGGCGCCCCAACCGCTCCGCGCAGGTGCGCGCTCCAAGGCCGGGCACGTCCGGCCCAGGGGGCACCTGGCCGGGCTGGGGAAAGACCAGCCGGGGACGGAGCGTGCGCAGTAGCGAGGGCGAGGCCAAGTGCGGGCAATGAGCATGCGCAGTGTGAAGGCACAATCGGCTACGTGGGAGCCTGGGGCATGCTCGGTGAGAGCCCGGGCCCGGCGCACGCGCAGAAGCGCTCGGAACCCGCAACCCGCTGGTGGAGAGAAAAAAGAGGAGAGAAATCACCTCAGAGTTACGTCAGGAAAGGCCGCGTTTGGCGAGGAGGCTGTGGCCTCCCGCGGGGCCCCGCAGTTCTCCTGGGGCGAGCGGCGTGACAGTTACTCACCGGTCTCCAGCCCCGAGGCAGCCGCCGGGCCCCTTTCCGCTCACACTCGGCTCGCGCGCGCCGCAGCCGCCGCTGCCGCTGTGATTCCATCCATCTTGAATTTGACGTCATCCCACACCAGGGATGAGGTCATCGCAGGCAGCGCTCGTCACGTGCGCGGCGCTGTGATTGGGCGCCGGGCGCCTGGGGGCGGGACGAGGGAGGCGCGCCGCGCCGGGGGCGGGCGAGGGCGGGCCTGACGGGAGCGCCGCCGCCGCCCGCGTCCTTCCGCGCCCCGCGCGCGCCTTCCGCCTGGCGGCCCGCGTCCACCCGCGGCCCCCGAGCGTCCGCTCGGCGCCGGGCCCGCCGCTTCCCCGCCCCGAGGCGCCCGCCCTCTGCGGGCCGCTCGGAGGCTGCGGACGGGGCGCGAGGGGCCGGTCGCCTCTCCGCCCCGCGAGCGCCGCGGACGCTCGGCGCGCGGCGTCTCGGTCGGGGCGCCCGCGGCCTGCGCGGAGGTGCGCGGGGTGCGGGGTGCGCAGAGCTGACCTTGGGCGCCCGCCTGCGCCGCCGCCGCCCCGGGGGACCGGCCTCCCCGTCGGTCCCGCGCTAGCGGAGGAGGACGCCGCGCTGGTCGCCGGCCTCTCGCGGCCCCCGCCTGGCGGTGCGCGGCCGCGGGCCGCCTGCAGCCTCGCTCGGCGTGAGTGATCGCGGTGCACCGACGCGGCTCCTCCCGCGTCCGTGCCCGGGCCGACTCGTTTTCTTGCACGCCTGTGACGCCGAGGAAGCTCACTCCACTTGCAGTCTGGACCAGGAGTGTGTTCCGACAAATGCCCAACTCCAAACACTAACCCTAAAGAAACGCTCTGCTCGACGAGCTCCCCGCAGCCCCAGGGGAGGAGGTTGCAAGGTGGGGTTATAAAGAAAATCCGTCTGTAATTCTAGTTGTTAAAGGTATCTTGGTGTTTGTATCACAGGTACCGCTGTCTTCGTTAAATGAATTAAGCACCACCGCCAGTCCCCTTTCCAATTAGTGAAACAGTCTGCATAAAATTAGAATATCTGCTCTGAATGTTTGATGGAACTTCTCTCTCCCTGCTTAAGGCATCTGAGCTCAGCGTTGTACTTTTGGGATTGAACATAATCTTTTAATAACTACTGTTATATTGCCTTCTAAAGCGGGGATGTTTAGGATAGACTTAGGTTCTGGAATTCAGGTCGTAGTCAGTACTGAGGCACCTGGCCGGCTCGGTGCGTTTCGCGTCCGGCTTGGGCTCAGGGCCTGATCTCGTGGCTCCTGAGTTCAACCCCGCCGTCGGGCTCTGTGCTGACAGCTCAGAGCCTAGTTCCTGCTTTACATTCTGTGTCTCTCTCTGCCCCTCCCCTGCTCGCACCCTGTCTCTCTCTAAACATTAAAATAATTTTTAAATAAAAAACCATGGTTAATACTTTTCAAATGTCTGTCAATCTTTTAATGATAATTTTTTATTAAAAATTTTTTTAATGTTTATTTTTGAGACAGAGTGCGAGCAGGGGAGGGGCAGAGGGAGAGGAAGACGAAGAATCCCAGGCGGGCTCCAGGCTCTGAGCTGTCGGCACAGAACCAGACGTGGGGCTCAAACTCACAAACCTGCAAGATCATGAACTGAGCTGAAGTCGGAGGCTAAACCGACTGAGCCACCCAGGTACCCCTGTCATTTTTAATTTTGAATCTTTATTGTTTTTAAGATTTTATCATTAAAATTTTTTTTTAATGTTTATTCTTTTTTTTGAGAGACAGAGAGAAACAGAGCATGAGCAGGGAGGGGCAGAGAGAGGGAGACACAGAACCCGAAGCAGGCTCCAGGCTCTGAGCTGTCAGCACAGAGCCCGATGCAGGGCCCAAACCCATGAACCGTGAGACCGTGACCTGAGCCAAAGTCAGATGCTTAACCGACTGAGCCCCCCAGTCCTTAAGATTTTATTTTTAAGCAATCTCTACACCCAACTTGAACTTACAACCCAGAGAGAAGAATCACATGCTCTACTGACCAAGCCAGCCAGCCGCCCCTGATTTCATTTTTTAAGCTTGCGTTTATGCACATGACCCTGGTTAAAATAACTTATGAAACGTCTGGGGAACATGGGTAACAAATAATCTTGCCTTAGGTTGATAAAAATTTGTTTCCACGTAACAGCTTTTTGCCAATTATTTTAGTTTCCACTCATTTTAAGAGGACGCTTCATCTCGAAGAATCTTCCACCTGAGTATTTTCTCCTACAGCTATTTAAAAATATTAAGAAGTGTCTTTATATTTTGAACTGAACGGTAGTAGAGCAAAAAGTGGTTTGGGACTTAAAAGAAGGCAGAACGCAACAGTGATTGTAAGGCTTTCAAAGGGTCTTGAGTTCTAGGGTCCCCGGGGCTTAGTGGGAGTGGCCACACAGTAATCCCCATTTTACAGCGAGAAAACTAATACCGCGCTGGGGAGCAAGCGCCAGAGTCAGAGCCAAGTTTTTATTTACTGTTCTATTCCAAATACCAAAAGCAGTGTCCCTCGCCTTCCTTTCTCGCCGCTTCGGGGGAGGGGGCGCGGGGGGGGGACACATTGTGGTGCCCGCACTCTTAAGGCGTATGCTCAGGCTCTTGCCCTCACCGCCTCACTGCCCCCGGGCCTGGCACGTCCTGCAGAAACCTCAGTCTGTCAGTTGACCTCCTAGGTTTGTGGCTCTGGACCTGACCCCATTGTTACGCTCACCCTCTGTCGTCTCGTCCATCCCTGGGACAGTTAGCCCGGGTGCCTGACCCCGGAACTTGGGCACCGTGTCCGCCTCTGCCCTCAGGTCCCGGATGCAGCCTCTCACCGAGTCTGATCCATCCACCTCCTGAACATTTCTCTGATCCCTTAACCACTTTCCACCCCCAACTGCTTCCAGATCGCTCTCCCAGCTTTCAGGTTTTTCCCTTTTAGTCGGCCCTGGATTTGCAATCCAAGTGATCTTTTTAAAAAACAAAAGGTATCACACCACTCCCTTAAATGGTTGATGGCCCTCAGAGGCTCCAAGGCTAACATTCAAACTCCATAATGGGACCCACCAGAGTGATGACCTGGTCCACCTGTAATCCCATCCCCCCTCCCCCCCCCCCCCCCCCCCCCCCCCCCCCCGCAACGTCCCCAAACAAGTCAGGCTCTGTCTCTCGCCTCCTGGCGTCTGAAGTGACCTCTTCTCCCCCTTTCACGCTGCCGCCGGGCACCTCTTACCTTGATCGGTTCACCTTGCTGGCTTGGATTCCTTCCCGCCCCCTCCTCCCCCCAGGGGGATCCACCGCCTCCTCTGCCTCACCCTGGGTGCGATGCTCCCTCCGGTGCGCCCACAGCACCTCTAGTAGCTTGTTGTATACCGTCTGTGGATGTTCTAGTGGCTCTGCCTGCGGGGACCCCCTCAGCCCCCAGGAGGCCTCCACCTCTGCCTGTCCAGAGCCTAGCACAGAGCCTGGCCTCTAGCAGGAGCCCAACTATACACACACACACACACACACTATATATACAACATTTATGTACATATATATACACACAATATATATATGTGTATATGGGTATTGCCCACACATGCACGCACCCCAACAGGATTCCTAGCACCGCGTCATGTATATTTATTTGAGCACAGTTCACATCACACCATCTATATAACCAGGTTCTTGCCAGACCTCACCATCCGGGTAGCCCAGAGCCATGAGCCATCACCGAGGCCTGCCCGTCCGCCTCTCGGGGGCCCCTTCAGTGTGGCCTCACCTGCCCCCTTGCCGCTGCTCCGGCCTCCACGATCTCTGAGCTCTCTGACCGACCGCTGTAGCCACCGCACTAACTTCCTGCGTCAGGCTTGCACCCTCCCTCCCCAGGCCAGTCCAGTTTAGTCACATTTATGTCTCCAAATGCAGATCCGGTGGGTGCAGCCTCAGTGTGGGCCTGGCCTGCAAAGTGGCACAGAGGTGGCTTCTCTTGGTTCCTCCACTTGGCCGGCTGCCTCCGCCGCGCACAGCTGGTTTGGGAACTTGCGGGCATTCCCTCTTCCTCTTCCATCCGCTGGCAGCGCCTCCCCCCGCTCCTGCTGAGCCAGCCTCCTGCCTCTGGGCTCTGGCTGCTCTGTTCCCGGCTGCCGGCAGGCCAGCTGTGACGCCAGCCTGTTAACCTGTGTGTTCTCAGAGCTCGGGGCCTGTGTCCCGGGCCGTCTGTGTCCCATGGCCAGGTCTCCTTTAGAAGCTGTGTTACAACGGCGTCTGACTTGGTGGTATTAGCAATACTACGACCTGGTTTCTTTGCCTTTCTCGTCCCACATAAGCACAGCCCTTTCATAAACTGGGGGAGAAAGGTCTCTACGGGTTTAAAAGCATAAACCTCAGGGTGCCTGAGGGGCTCAGTCGCTTAAGCATCCAGCTGGCTCAGGCCATGATCTCACAGTTCGTGGGTTCGAGCCCCGCATTGGGCTCTGTGCTGACAGCTAGCTCAGAGCCTGGAG